CAATGGGGGAGCCTACAGCAAATTCTGGGGTGACTGCTGCCCCCCTCCCAGTGCCACTGCCTCCCACCCTGAGCACAGCCCAGCACAGTCCCCCTATGGGAAAGAGCCTGGTGCAGCCCACAGCAGCAGCACACCCTTGCCCCATGCAGATCTGGGGGCAGACGCCCCCTCCTGTGCCCTCCCAGGGTGCATGCAGTAGCAGGAGCCGCCTCCTGCCACACCCCCCAAACAAGCTGTGGCTCCATCCTGTGTCCCACCCCACTGTGGCTGCTCAGCACCAGCCCCACTCCCTCCCTCACCGTGGAGACCTTGATCTGCACCACCCATGCCCCTTCCCTCCCCCCCTCATCCCTTCCCCCACGACAGACCCGGCTGCTCTCCACACTGTCCAGCTGTGCTCCTGCAGCATGCATGCTGCAGCTGCAGCTGCACACGTGCACACAGCATTTATTGGCCATGTTATCGGCCACATCAGACAAAAAAAGCCAATTGCCGATACTCTCAATTTTCCTCATATCAGTGCCAGTCTGATTATGGGACCGATGTATCGGTGCACTCCTATTCATAATCAGTCTCTATGTCATTGGCTCCCAAACCATGTTTTGCAGGAAATGCATTGCCCAGAAGACCCTCCAATGTTGTTAATGGCCCCAGGAAATTAAAAAGTTAAAATGGAAAGCAAAATACAAATGCTGTCTGCAGTATAATACTGGTTTGATATGGTTGCCCAGAGGTCAACAAAAACCAAGGATAACTGCTCAGCATAATTCTTCCCTCTTTGTGCAATCCTTTTGGCACTCACTGGCTCAGTGAAGAGGTCTTGGAATGATTCTTTGATAAGATGCAAGTACCTTAAATTACTTGTGTTGCTTTCAGACTTGTACTGTTTGTGATGACAGTGAACAATGCATTTAGTGATATTATAATTGCATCTCAAATACTAAAAGTAATGCTCTAAGGGAGAGGACAATCTTGCAGGGCAAGAAGAAGGACACTGCCTAATATGGTTTCAGTGCTGGTTATTTCCAAGACTGGGGGAGTTGGAACGTTCAGCAGAGAAATACACGCTTTATTCAGTTCTTATTTTGCTCCTCACAAGTTTAACTTAAAAGGAAGAAAAAGGTGAAAAATATTTAAAGCTGAAAAAAATATCTAGCTTAAATGAGTGATGGGTCAGTGATACTCCAAGGTTTAAATCTGGCTCCAAGACAAAAGCTAGTGTGTATCACTTGTGCATCAGCCCTGAATGTCAACACAGACCTTCAGGCTCAATTTTCATCGTCTTTCTTTTTGTAGATTTGCTTGCTGTGGCCTTACCTATTGCCTGTGTAGGTTAATTTCCTCTTTTTATCATGGTAATAGTGTAATAAAGTGCTTTAAATGTTTAACCTCTTACTCCTGACGCAACACAAAGATAGTGTACTGTGTTGCCTGTATAGTGGTGCTGCCGCTTACTTCAGAGACAAAGTGTTTGGAAAGGGACTTAAAAAGATACTAATAATAGTAAGCAAAAGCAAAGAGGAACAAGTACAGTAGATCTCAAGCAAGGGACAGCTCTTCAAGCTACTTTCCATATTAATGCTGCTCTTCTTCCTATTGGTATTCAGACAATCTGTATTATTCCCTTTAGAGAACATCATCTGGGAAGGGTCTATTTTTTCTTGAGTTGTGTACTGCATTACCTTTTACAGGTTGGAATGCATTATACAATACACTTTGACATGGTTAAAATATGTTACAGAGTATCAAATGGTGCATTATGCTGCTTTGATACTGAAGAGATGTTCTGTTTTTGGTTTTTGTCTCTGACAGACTTTATCATTATTTGCTTCTAGAATAAACAAATGTTTGATTCAGTGTATGTTTTATTCATCTGTTTTAAGGTATAAAGAGACAGGTTTTCCCTGAAGTTCACAGTAGCAGACCTTGTAAAGGGGGATCCAGGGAGAAAAAACTTGGGTTGCAAAAAAAAAAAAAAAAGGATTGCACTACTCCCTCCACGTTTGATCTCTCTCAGCCACTCTGCAAAGTGCCAAAAATGTGTGTAGCACAACTATTTCAGCCAGGAAATGCTCTGGTCCTTTGTGTTCAGTGATAGGGCTCCCAAAACAGATAAAAGGTAAACAAGCAACTGTTAAGCCAGTGTCATATTTTCAAAAGCAACTTTTAGGAATTCACTGTTTTTTCACTTAGATTTGAGCTTCCAAGTGTGAGGTCACTTTTGAAAATGGGACTTACAGTCCTAAGTCACTTAGATTCTTTTGAAAATTTTGTTCTAAAGCTACTTTTCCCCAGGATTCAAGGTAAGGCCATTGGTCAAAGCTGCTGCAACCCTAGTGACTGAATTCCCATTGAATACACAGTGCTTTTTTCTAGCCTATGTAGGTATGTCAACACCAACAGAAATGAGACTGACATGTGCTGTAATCACTGTCACATATGAATGTACACATACAAGCTTGTGTTTATGTTCATTACAGGCTGCACTCAGATTTTGCATTTACAGAGCATTTTACAGAGCTGAATTCCTGATTAATTGTATTATAGGAATCTAGTAGCTAAAGTAAAAGTATAGCCTAATTACTTACATTATAAAGAAATTGTAGCCTTTCTCTGAACTCCAGATAAGTTAAAGGTGCTCACTAGTCATTTGAAAGTGACTGCTGTTGCTTCTACTCGTACTTATTAGCAGCAGTAGTAGTACTGTTCCTCCTTATTACTGTAGGGAGTCCCTTATCATTTGAGTCTCTCTCTCTGGATAAAATCATTCTCTCCTTTGGAATATGCTTGCCTTTTAAATGTTGATTTTGTATGTTGATAATTCTAGTGTGCGTGTCATGGTCCCACAAGCCACTAGTCACTAGTGGGAATAAAAGTTTGTTGATCATAAATGAGTTGTATCAGCAAAGAAGGGGGTGGTTGTCTTAGTTTCACTGCAGTTTTTCTAGTGAGGTGACTAAATATTTCTACTGTTATTTTTTAGATCACAGCGTTTAAATTTTGATGTGTCATCTCCAAATGGAATTCTTCTTTTCAGAGAAGCTAGTAAAATGATTTGTACTTATGGTAGGTATCTATTAGTGGTTTGGGTCTTTTTAGGGGTGTGGAGGGGTCAAGTATACTTTATCTGTTTTGTGGTATGAGTTCTGTTAACTTCACTTTCCTCAACCTTGATGGATTTGTGGAACAAGTAAAAGGAGTGTATTATGACCAATGTCATCCCATTATACAGTATACTAAGTTACATTCATAGATCATGGGAGTGCCGTGTCATTTATTTTGTAGTATGTGTCTTCTAGCAACTTTATGCATTCTTTATCAAACATACAAACACAGTGGATCCAGAGCTACCAGTTGATGGGTCAGGGTTGACTTAATGTATCCAAATTATATTCCAGCAATTGACAGTATAATAGACCTGTTACAGCTTTACTCTGGGGCTCAATTTAAAGCTCTTATAAAATGTTACCCCATCTTACTATAGCTGTACACAAACACAATTGTAACACATCTGTGACTCCAGATAAGTATATTGGACTTCAAATCTTGTATTGGTTCTCATTTTTCTTTCTAAGAATTTGAAAGGAATTTTACCAAGTTTCTATAAAGCTACTTTACTTTAAGTGCATGTGAACAGGAAAGACTATAAAAGTCCTATTACTTTTTAAGAGAAAAAATCTGATCTTTTAAATTTGTTTTTACTGCACTTGAAGATGCATTCTGGTGCTGGAACATATGTGTTCCATGGCTTTCTGTTAAAAGATGTTTAGATGTAATTACACATTTGATTTGTAGAGTATAGAGGCAGTCAGGATGTGCAGGCTGCAGAAAACATGTATATAGGACAGGAAAAATGATTCCAAGTAAATCTTATTTCTAATAAACTAATTTCCCTATTTTATTTCCAACAACACCAGCCAGTGTGCAGCCACATTTTTAATACCTTCTCAGGCGATTTTATGCAAGTGATTTAGCAAAGTAAAAAAGTCAGCATAGAAAAAGATAAATTAGTAAACCTTTAAGTATCTATTACTAAATACTATTAACAATGCATTTAATTTAAAACTAATTGCTTCCATTAGATCATTAAGGAGATGCATTGTTATGTTGCTGCTTAAAATACATTTGCTTCCTTCATCCCTGGTCTCCCTGCAAAACTGCTCTTCTCGATGCTTACCTTAAAAAATCACCTCTTCATTGATCATCCTTTAGTTTCAGCTGTTGGCATCTGTCTCCCAAACTTACCATCATCAGCTGTTCCAGCTTACCTCTTCCTGTTTCTTTCATAATTGATGCCATCTTCCTCTCTACCCTTTACTTTGTGGGGGAAAAAAAACATCACTTGATAGCTACTATCCATCACACCATTTAGGTGTGGCTGATGAAACCTGAGCAAATTCTCCATCCCCCAAGATATTAGGTCTTCCAAGCAGGGATCTGACATCATTTTGGTTATGCTAAAGGTAAACTGAAAGGAAAGTACCAGCATAGTACCAGACTTAAGATTTAAAACAAATCAGTGGAGTCATAGCATCAAAAGTAACCCACTTCAGGACAGCTACCTCCCCTCTCTGCTTGAAAGTGTCATTCATGGAAGATAAGATAATGTCCATATGCTTGAGAGAATCTGCCACTGAAAGGAGAGAAAAATAATTTTGCAGGCTTTCCTCTGTCCTTTTCTACATTTCCTGTATCCTCATTCCAGGGTGTTGTTACAGCAATGGGAAAAGAGAGAATCTACTCAGTCATTCCTAGGTACCGACCAAAAATGTAGTAACTCTGGCAAAGGTTTTTGCTTCATTGGAGAGCTGAGACTCCATGATCCTTCCTTGAAAATTATTTTAAAACGATCAAAGAAGTGAAGAGTTCTGCTGGGTTGCAATCAAAATATTGGGCAACTTGCAGAATCAAACGTTAATTTACGATTAAAAATTCTCCCCTGTTTTTTCCTTAAGTCAAAATGACACACTTTAGAATGACCAGCAAAAGAACTGTGATTGCAAATTGTCATTTTGATCCCACAACAACCCACACACGAAGGAAGATAATTCAATCATCAAGAATACAATATTTCCATGAAAAGAATATGACCTGATTATAAAATGACCCCCTAATAATTTGTTTCTATATATGGAAAATGTATACTTTGTTTATAATTTCCCAGGTAAAAAATTGAATTACTGGAGGTTTGCCTGAATTTGTCCACCTCCCAGTGCTACAGCAGGGAAAATAGATCTGGAGGGTCAAGTAGCCCTTTGCTTCCTGCTTCTCCCCAACTTTTTCCCCTGACAGCCCCTTCCCCCTGTCCTTACTATCAGACCCTATTCTCCCTGGGCATGTGCAATGTTGTGGTTCACCATGACTTGAAAAAAGAGTTGGCAGTGAGAGAGACTGCTCTTAATGGGCACTACCATATATCTTATTCAGATGGGCTATACTCACCTATTCTTTTGTTAGGTTCCCATCAGTATGTTTGCCCAGTGTGGGCTGTGTTTTATAGTCATGCTCAGTGTTGGCTGCATTTAATCAACTTCTTACTTGGTTTCCGTTGCTGAGCACATGCTGCTTTTGGCAGCAGTTTAATGATATACAGTGTATTTAGTGAACTTTCCTTGTATGCGATTATCAAACGAGGGGCTTTTTTCCCATGCCAGTTGAAGGGAGAAACCTCATCTTGTATTTGAGTAATTAGGGTAATAGCTGTTTTATATTTCCTCTAAAATAAAAGTTGAAATTTACCTCTTGATCAAAAAGATCAAATAGGACACAATTCACAGCCCTCACTATGCAGTTCTTGCATTTCACTTTTAGCCATATATATAAGTCTAATACTTATTAATGTATTCGTGGGTTCCCTGTTGCATAAGAACCATATTCCATAGTACCTTGGGAGTATCTGTTTCTTGCTTTGTGGTTTTCTTACATTTTTAGTAACATCTTTCCTCCTCTGTTATAAGAGACAGATATAAAAATAATACTTTCAATATTCTGGTTTTATTTATCTATATTCTGTCATGATATACTTTGATGTAAGTTTTTAATTTTGCTTCAGCTTTCAGCTGTTCTAGCAGTTACTGCTCAGGGTCAGTGACGAGGTTAGCCACAGCAGCACAAAACAATTTCCTGTTCTCACAGCCCAGGTAACATTTGGATGAGGATTAAATTTTACCACATTTTCCAGTAGCCAGACACAATTATTTCTAATGAGCTTTAAATTGCTTCTAGAACATGGATTTCAAAACTTAGTGTTGTAATCCATTCAGCTCTAGCAACTTAATAAAATAACAGTTCTTTTTAAATTTTTTTGGTTAAATTGTTCCTTGCTATGTAATCTATTGCCCAGTTTAAAATGTAATGTGTGTTATACTCAGTAACTATTTGTTTTCTTCTCACTATTGCCTCACTATTGGCATCTACAATGCTACCTTTTGGTAGAAAATAGTACTGAAATTTACTGTTGCTCATTACTGACTTAGATCCCAGTTTTGTCTCCCCTGAAAACTTTAAGCATCCAAAAATTTATCTGGGCTTTTTGTATTAGTGAAATTGTTTTGAGAGCCTTTCCTCATGTTTCATTGCTGCTTCACCTTGTGAAAGGTAACTTCTGTTATACCTCCAACTTCTCCTTTGTAGTGCATATTTCTACTTCAAGTAATGTCCATATATACCCTGAACTTCCTGCTCCTTCCTACTAATCAACTGTCTGACTATGGACTGAGCAGTCCTTTAGAGTTCCTGATGGCCTTCAAGTCTCAGAAACTATCCATATACCTAATTTGTTACAGCTACTTCTCAGAAAATACCTGCACCCTAGTGGGAAGAATGTTTAGAATTCATTTTCTTGTTTTTGTTTAAGGGATGGCCTACAGCTCAACATCACCCTCAGCTCTTCCTCCCCCAAATAGAATGATACCACAAGGCAGCACCATCTTGAGCTTTGTCATAGACACTAGCCACCTCTATTCTACCCCCTTACCTGGGTTGAACTGTTTCAGTCACTTGTGGTGTAGTGGCACCTTTTTCTTCCTCCAAGATTGCCTTATATGATCTACATAGTCTCCAGGGCTCAGACCATGCCCTTCCCATAATGGCCTGATTTCAACTTCAAATGGGTACACAAGATACCTATTTTATCTAGTAGAGGCCTACATCTCTGACAGTTCTCTGTCAGTCATAGATTTCACAGACATTAGGGCTGGAAGGGACCTCGTAAGATCATCGGATCCAGCCAAGGGGCAGGAAGTCAGCTAGGGTCAAAGGATCCCAACAAGATAAACATCCAAATGTTTCTTGAAAGTGTCCAGAGTAGGTGCTTGCACCATCTCTGGGGGGAGTCTTTTCCAGGCCTTGGGGGCTCCAACAGTAAAGAAGTTTTTTCCTTATGTTCAGCCTAAAACAGACTTGCAGGAGTTTGCGACCATTGGACCTTGTCATCCCCTGGGGTGTTCTGGTGAACAGGTGTTCCCCCAGATCCTGATGCACACCTCTTATGTACCTATAGGCTGCCACCAAGTCACCCTTGAGCCTGCGCTTCTCCAGGATGAAGAGTCCCATAGCTCACAGCCTCTCTTCATAAGGCCTGTTCTCTTGCCCTCAGATCATGTGTGTGGCTCTCCTCTGGACTCTCTCAAGCTTTTCCATGTCCTTCCTAAATTGTGGAGCCCAGATTGGATGCAGTACTCCAGCTGCGGCCTCACTAAGGCCGAGTATAGTGGGAGGATGACATCCTCGGTCTTGCTTGAGATGGATCAGTAGTTGCAAGCCAGAATTTTGTTCGCTTTGCCAGCTGCAGTATAGAATTGGTGATTAATGTTCATCTTGTGGTTAATCATGACCCCCAAGTCTCTTTTGGTCATGGTGCTAGCGAGTGTAGCGTTGTCGAGCCTATAAGTGCAATGCGGGTTTTTATTCCTGAGGTGGAGCACTTTGCATTTGTTCGTATTGAATGCCATCAGGTTTTCATCCGTTCACCTTGCAAGCCTGTCAAGGTCGACCTGGATCACCAGCCTATCCTCAAGCGTGGACACTCTTCCCCAAAGTTTGGCGTCATCAGCGAACTTGACCAA